ACTTCGGTCGACCGCGGCTTTGGAATAACATCTCGCCCCAGCCCCCGTTCTCGTAAGAACGACGCGCGCGCGCCCCTCCCCCCCCCAAAAAAAACAAATCCCACACCTTCCAGAGCGCGCGGCAGGACACAACATTCCTGAAGTCACATGACCACCAAAACTCCCCCCGTCCGTACAGCCCACCACGCCCATGGCCAACGCCCTCTTGGACACTCTCGCGCAATACTAATTCCAGTTAATTTTTTCTGGTTCCCGCTCCCCCTTGTTTTTTTATTGTATATATATAACGACTACTTTCGTGATATTCCAAACTAACGACAGAAAGTTATTTGTACGTGGCCGAATTTGCTGTCTTTTGTGCCAACCGTGGAGAGTGAGATACTGAAAAATACACAGTGAGATATTTTCCATATATCGATCACGTGATATCGATCACGTGACTTTTAGTATTTACACAATTTTTGGCTTGGGACTATATAATAAACAGAACATTACACGTTGGCTCGTGTTAAAAACAATATTTTACTCACTCGCGGCGCTCGTTCGTAAAATATTGTTTTCACCACTCGAATATAGAAGTCATATCTTCGCGCCGCCGTGTAATATCCTCTATTTATTTTCTAAAAAATGTTATCAGGGGGCGAAGAGCTGTGCTTAATTTAATATAATTATTGTTGATTTCATATGGATTGTCATCGTTTTCTTTAAATATAATACATTTTATTTCACTTACCCTACACGAAAACACGATTTCAGCCATATTTTGCCGTCTTGTTTGCTTTTTATCGCCGAATCTGGCAAATATCATCTAGTTGTTGTACTTTTAAATAATCATAAATGGCTGAAGAAGATTTTAAAGAAGGTTTCATCAAGTTTTGAAACAGTACAGTGTATTTTATCTTCGATATTGTGTCCTTCGATATTTCGTGAAATATGGCGCCATTGCAATGGCTCGCCGCTGCATTGCCCGATAAATACCACTTTTTCGTCTTCGTATGTATTTAGATTACATTATCCAAGAGCAATTCATTGTAAAACAGTCCAAATCGAAAATTTGAAAACATTAGTTGCACTTGAAAAAACCTCCCATAACAGTTGTCCTGTCAGAATTCAAAAGAAGTAATTTGAAAGTCACGCGCAAGTTTCCGAAAACTCCTCGTGGGCTACATGACAGGGGGTAAATATTTTCACGAAACGTTTGTTCGCCACCACAGCAGCCTGACTAAGTACAATATATTTATTGTATTTTTGTGATTTATGATAAAAACAATAAACGTGATGGCATTCCTTTTTTTTGAATGTCTTATCTCTGGCTTGCAGCCTGATACTCCCATTATTCTCTGTGGTGACTTTAATACTGTCTTGGACCCCCGTGTCGATCGGCTTGGTTGCAATCCCGCTTGTTATTGGGCGTATAGTTCCTCTGTGTCTGTTGTTAATCTGATGACTACTTTTGAGTTAACAGATATCTGGAGGAAACAACATCCCCACTACATTGGAGTATACATGGTGTCGTCCGAATGGTACTCAAGCATCCCGTTTGGATATGTTTCTCGTATCTCAATCATCCCTTCTTTCCATTCTGATAATCATTATGTCTATATGGAGTTTTCCCTGTCTTCCACTGTTGACCTCGGGCCACGCTATTGGAAGTTTAATACATCACATCTCGCTGATCCATCCTTTTGCGAACAAATAAACTCCTTTTGGTTACATTGGCGTTCGCAGAAGCATTGTTATTCGTCTATTGGGGCATGGTGGGATGCGGGTAAAATCGAACTCAAAAAACGGATTCGTAAGTTCTCCAAAGATCAGGCACACCATATGAAGACACGTATCAAATCCTTACAGGCATCGGTCTTTCATTTAAACCGGCGCCTGGCAAATGGCGAAGATGTCGAAGCCTTTTTATGGGAAGCAAAATTCGAACTGGAAGTCTATTTATTGAAGCAGGCAAAGGGTGCCGAAGTTCGTTCACGTATCCATTGGGCTGAAGACGGCGAACGCTCTACGTCCTTTTTCTGTCGTCAAGAGAAAACTCGTAGTAGCCGCAGTATCGTCAAAAGTATTTCTCGTCCAAATGGTTCCTTCGCTACCACGTCACAAGGTATCCTCCAAGTTTTTCGCTCTTATTATCAAGATCTTTTTACCTCCGAATCATTTGATCAGCACGAATAACAATTTTTCATCTCCAATATTCAGTTCCGACTTAACAAAGCAGAATGTCGATCGTGCGAAGGCCCTATGTTACAGGAGGAGTGTTTCAAAGCTCTGAAAAACATGTCACATAATAAGTCAGCTGGGTTAGACGGTCTTCCTGCTGAGTTCTATTTGCTTTTTTGGTTCATCATGGGGGAAGATTTTGCTGCCATGATTAATGAATGTTATGATCTCGGTTGTCTCACGATGTCCCAGCGCAAAGGTCTGATTACCCTTCTGTTCAAGCGTGTGGATAGTAACAACACCAAGAACTGGCGACCTATTACGTTGCTTTGTGCGGACTATAAGATCGCGTCAAAAGTGATTGCAAATCGTCTCTTAACGATCATTTCCACTGTTGTTTCAGCTTCCCAGACAGGCGGAATTCCTGGTCGCCTCGATCTTGGCCGAGAATATTCGTCTATTAAAATATATTGTTATGCACGCAAATCATAATGATGTTTCTACTGCCATTTTATTTCTGGATCAGGAGAAAGGATTTGACCGGGTCGAATGGTCTTTTCCGACTAAAGTCCTGGGTGCTATGGGTTTTGGTCCCTCTTTCTAACAGTGGGGCAGGTTATTTTATACTAATATTGATTCTTCAGTTATTGTTAACGTTTTCATTTCAACTGAATTCAATTAACGTTACACGTGGCGTGCTGCAGGACTGCCCATTGTCTCGATTACTTTATGTTTTGGTCATCGAAGCTCTAGCTATCATCATTCAGAAATATCCTGATATTGATGGGTACCCCTTACCTGATGGAACCCGACAAAAACTCTGTCAATATGCTGATGATACTATGGCACTCGTTACATCGGGTCGTTCTATTACGAAGCCTTTTTCTACCTTTACCCGGTAGGAGCAGGCATCTAGCGCAAAGTTGAATCTGGGGAAATGTCATGGTTTGTTAATTGGCTCATGGCGAGGTAGATCTGTGTTTCCTGTGGATTTGAATTGGACTAATGAGGCTATTGTCGCATTGGGTAGCCGTATCAGTAATGATAGCAAAGAAAATTGGGCTGTTCAATTGAAGAAATATGAGGATCTTTTGATATCATGGAAGCAACGCAGTCTGTCCTTTCGTGGCCCTACTTTGATCGTTAATGCTCTTGGTTGAAGTCTATTTTGGCATCTGGCCACCTTTGAGAGTATTCCACAATCACTGGTTGTCAAGATTAATGGTCTCACCTTTCCCAATATTTGGAGGAAGAAACGTGAATGGCTTGCACGCGCATCAGTTACGCAACCGATCAAAGATGCTGGACGTCTTGGGGCTGTTGATGGGGATAAGAAGATCATGTCTCTGCATTATTTATGGATCAAACGATACCTCCTTGGTCCTCGACATGGTTGGCATTCCTTTCTGGAGTTCTTTGTCCGTCGTGCTTTCCCCAAAAAGAATTCCCTTCTGGAAGTTCTCCTTTCCAAAACTTTAGCAACTCGATCCTTGAAATTGTTACCAGCTTTTTATAAGTCAGTTTTGATCACGTGGATCAAGTTACTTCCTACATTTGACCGCATTTGGCAAATTCCCACTACACCGGATGTTTCAAGGTCACTGCTCGTGGGGCATATCGTCTTTCCAACCCTCCTGAAATCCACCGCTGTTTTGCTAAATTTGCATCATTTGCTTTCAACGTGAATTGGTCCTGGGTTTGGCAGAGTCTTTCACTCTTGAAATTTGTCCGATCTGTATAAGACTCAGTTGAGTGCCCATGGCATCCTGCCAACAGCCGATCTTTTGATTCGATTTGCCCAGCGAGTTGATCCTGTTTGTCATTGTGGCTGCCCCGAGTCTCTTGTCCATCTCTTTACGGAGTGTTCCTTGGCCATTGATGTTTTCGATTGGTTTCATTGTCTGCTGAAGCGGTTTCTTCCACAGTGCAAGTACCCGACAGATACTGAATTCCTGTTTGGTTTTTACCCAGCAAGGAGAATTCCTTTGGTCTACTCTGCTCTGCTCGGAATTTTGCGACATCATCTGTGGTTGGCTCAGAATGCATTCCGGTTTGAAGGAACTGAACCTGATTTAGATACTGTTATTGGAAAGATCAAGTCAACATCTCATTTTCTGATTATGCGACAGCACCGGAACTGTCGTAGTGGTGATTTTCAGAGAGAATTGTTAGCTGATAGTGTCCTTGGTTGTATCACTAGTGGAAATAACCTTACCTTAGATCCTCCGTGGTGTTAGTGTTGCCTTTCCCTTTGATAGAGCAATGATCGCCATTGGTGGTTGACCTTCTGTTTCTGGATTTGGGTTATGGCATGTTATTTGGTACAATTCGTCATTCTGTCAAAACTGTGTTGTTGTCGTTTTGTATCGTCGTCTGTCTGTCTGTGTTCGGTTTTGTGTGGTTTTTCTTGACAGCTTTACAAACTGTCGCCTGTTTGTCTCTTGTCTTTCGTTTTTCTCCGATTTATTAGTTCATGTCATTCGTTTGCTTCTTCTTAACAGGATAACGCCCGCATTTTTGCTGGTGTGTTATTCGTCTTCTCATAGCTCCTGTTGTTGAGGCATTGTTTGTTTGCTTGTCATTATGTTGTGGATTTGTTGTAATTCTTTCGTCAAGTTTTTCGGTTAGTCTTGTATTTCGTTTGCCCCCAGAGGCAGTGGTCTCCTTTACTGGTGTACTGCTGTCTCCTTTTCAATTTTTGTCCTATGGTTCAGTCTTCGAATGGGCTGCATAGGTTTCTTTCAATTATTTCTGATCTTCTCAGTGGTGTTGTTCATGTAGCTATCATTATCAGTCAGTATCATCTTCTTCTCCATTCACGATCATTGGTTTAGGAACCCCTGGGCGTGAAGTTGCTTTGCATCTGATCGTTCAGGCCATTCATGGCTGTCTCATGGCACGGGGGAAAGGGTCATACATAAGACCTCGCATTTGTACGGGGGTCGGGTGGTATCCTTTCCCGGGAAATTTTGAAATCTAGGACCTCGGAAATGCGATTTCCTGCGTTCTGTGCGAACTCTTTTGTTCCAATTCATATATCAGAGTCACAAAAATTTTGATGCATTTTTGGAAAAACACGTAAAAAACTTATATCGCAAAAACAACATAATTGCTCCATATAAGAAAAAAAATGTGCCTGTACAAGTGTAATAGCAGCAGTGGCAATAAGCCTCTATTAAAAAATAGTCAGTACTGTTCTTCTTGTAGCCTTGACTTTTCTATAGAAAAACATTTTGACAGAAAATCATGACAACACAAATACACACATACTGTGTAACAAAGGTGTATACAGTGTGATCCACCAGTTGCATTGCTGGACTCAGAAGGCAGTGTTATTATGTTGTTTATGAACCACCTTCCCCTACTAATTTCCAATGTTCCATGAATAAAATCTTCTAGCATTAGAATTTAAAGTAAAATGAAATATGGTGCATAAAGGTATTTTGTGCTTTACTGGGTAATTATATGCAACTCTGTCTTATGCTGTTAATCTTACTCTGCATGGACAGTGTGGTTGTCATCAGTTGGTCAATTTCATTTTCCCCTATAGCTGCCTTTGATATGAACTGCATGGTGAATAGCCCACACTCTGAATACCGAGAATATTGCCTTGTGGCGAGGAAACCAGTAAACTAACACACAACAAACACTGGGTTTAAAATTATATAAATATATAACTAGGTACACACACAACCACACGTTTTAAATAAATAGAAACTGTGTGTAAATTAATTTAATGAAGCTATCTTAGTTGGAAATTGTTTGTTAAATAAACCAATACCAAACTGTACAATGATATTAAACAAGACATAATTTAATCATATATATGTCTTCTATCTGTCCCCTTTTGCCTGCCTTTCAACTAATATGAATACAGTACTCATTTAAGAAAGGCTGCACAGACAGTAGTATTGATGAATATTTAATTTTCCCTATATTATTATATAAATGTACATCTTGTCAAATATATCCATACTCTTATCAATGGTAATCGTAATCCTCATCGTGGCATGCTGGCTATCCAAAACATAATACGGGATAATTAGCATTACAAATATATAATTTAATTAAATATATTTTCCAAACTATCCCACTTTTGTGAGCAATTTCATAATTATAGTATATACAGTATTTATACCGTCCATAATTTTTTCATTGATTCTAAGATTAAAATATGTCAGGAGAACGTCATATGACATATACAGCTTATATCAAATTATATTTACACAGACAAAGCATATAAACACTCAACTATGGTAGGCGAGCTGAGCAAGCCCAGGTAATCATCTTTGTTGTAAAATATCCAGCTAGTGTACAGTAATTGCCCAATAACTCAGGCAATGTAAAGTAAGACCCCTCTCACAAGGCATGCCAGCTCATTTCCATATAAAATGAAAATGAAATGAAATAGGGGATATCACTGGAAGTTCCAACTTGAAACAATTACCTTTCATGTAAATTCCCCCCTAGTCTTCTAACCAATGTTGCATTACTATTAGAAATCTCATTAACCTGCAATTAATTATAGCAATACAAATTTATCAAAACAATACATTAAATATGGCATGAATACTCATGCTAGAAATAGCCAATCCGAGTTACAATAATAAAGGCAGTTGTAGGACGCAAACATTTAATAACATGTGTATCAGGTCTTCATTTTTCTTTGCCCGCCAGCTGTGAGCAAAATGAAGGTCTCATGGGCACAGGATATAATCCCATGTAAACAGAGATGAAATCACAGGACGAAAAAATAGATTTGCTCCAACTTTGCAACCCCCTGCAAAGGTGCCATTGCCGTAATCGAATCAAATTTGCTATTGTGCAAATTTTGTTCAAATTTGGAAAGCAAATTGGTAAATAAATTTTTACCCTCATATTGGTAAATACAATTCTCTTTTTTGAGAGGGAATGGGTATAGGATAAATTTGGCTCAAATTACCTTTCATTTGCACAAGTGAATTTGTGGGTATTTTCGTCCATAATTTGGTTTCTAAATTTGCTAAAATATTTGCAACCTTGCAAATTTGATGCGATTACGGCAATGGCACCTTTGCACCGGGTTGCAAAGCCAAGTGCAAATCTGTTTTTTCGCCCTGTGAATTTGCCTCAGTAAAGCAAGCTGTGATCTTTGGTATTGGGGCTAGTTTGCCTCCAGACAAGCAAACTTCTGTAAAATGTCAATTTAATTGTCAAACTCTCCAGAGAAGCAAACTTCTGTAAAATGCGAATTTAATTGTCAAACTCTTCAATTGTCAAACTCTCGGTTCGATCGAGTTTCACATCGTGGGCATATTAGATCCCTTCCATTTTTCCACTTGGTAGTAATTGATTCGACTGTAAATTATTTGTTCTCCCTCAATTTCGAGGGATTTCTCTTCGCATTATTTGTCTCATTTGCATATAGTGCTTGCATATCCAAATATCCTTGCCGCCATGACTTGAATCGAATGCCTCGTTACGTCATAGTAGATTTCTTTTTGCAATTTGCATCAGTGCACCGATGCGAGCGCCCGCAATCTGCATGCGATGCAGCGCTCAGCGGCCAAATCTAACGTGACGTAGGGCTCTACAACAATAGATTTGATGATGTCACGTTAGATTTCACGCAGAAAAGGACTCGGGACCGATGCATTCACAGCCAATCGAATCTAATGTGACGTAGGTGATGCATTTTGCTTCAACTGTGACGTCAAAGGATGCGGTAAAAAAAAACATATCTTGTAGCGAAAATATTGCCGCTTAAGTGTCGCAAAATAACAGAAAGTACACATTTGCGATCGCAACGTCGCATATTGGACTTATTTTGACAATTTCGACTGTTATTGAGACTACTTAAATTAGATTTCATCCTAAATAGTGTATTCCTGACATGGCGTCAATGTTAAGCAAAGATTTGCGGGTTGATAGGAGATATTTCATTACTGAGTGCTTTGGCCATTGGCGACATTATATATCTATATATTTCAAGCAACATGAATCATGATTTCTCAATTTTGACCGATGCATCCGCATCGCTGGCATCGGTCTGGATTCGCCCTTGCCTGAGTACATTACACCAACACAGCAAATATATGTCTTATAAAGTGTTCAACCCCACCAAAATTTTTCTCTTCACCTCTCCTACTTTGTGTGAAAGTCTTTAACCCTAACCCCTGCCGAAGCTTGGTGGTGCTGCTTGCAGCCCACCAAAAATGTTGCCCCACTCCTTTTACAAAATTAAAATCCGCCCGTGCAGACAACAATAATATTAAGTCTGATTATCAAGCCCTGCTACACTACATTCCACGTTTGTTTTTAAAACGTGCTGAAAGCACATATTGCTATAAACATGTAGAATAAACACTATAAACTCATCGCTTTTGGGCATCACCATGCACACAAAGAAATAAACTAAAAGTAGATTTTGACTACTTGTATATAATTTATTTAACTATGAAGACGTCGATCAGTGCAGGGTAAATTCTGAAATTCATGATAAATTCATGCTGAATCTAAATTCATGAAATCATAGTGTTCTAAATATATATGCCTTCACGTATAATACCAAAAGAAATACAGCTATCCTTACCTGAATTATTGAAAATATTGTCCATGTTTTGCATCATGAAAATGTAAATAAGCTCGTAACTGTCCCTAAACATAGTTAAATAACTAGACAGACAGACAGACAGACAGACAGACAGACAGACAGACAGACAGACAGACAGACAGACAGACAGACAGACAGACAGACAGACAGACAGACAGACAGACAGACAGACAGACAGACAGACAGACAGACAGAGACAGAGAGACAGACAGACAGACAGACAGACAGACAGACAGACAGACAGACAGACAGACAGACAGACAGACAGACAGACAGACAGACAGACAGACAGACAGACAGACAGACAGACAGACAGACAGACAGACAGACAGACACAAAATCTAGATCTCGACAATACATAACTCGGGCAAAGAGACTCGACACACGTATAAGCGATACTTCATGTTAAGAATAGTGTGCTGCCCTCAGCAGCAGTGAAACTTTTTAATAGTTTGTTATGTAATGTCTTAGTTAAATATTGTTCTAATTTTTTTGGAACACCCGGCCTTGAAAGGCTACCGTGAATAAATATTTTTAAATTATAATAATAATTTCCATGAGCAAAGTCCTCAGCTCCATGAAAATTGTTCGTGAATACCTTGTAAGACAATTCTTCAAAAAGACCCATCTGTGTCGACTGGAAGT